AGTTACAAAATGCTCGAACTCGCATTGTAGCATTTATAATTCGGCTTATATTTCTCCAGCAGATTATTTATTTGCAGAAGAAGTTTATTGTGCTCTTATCGTGTCTAATAACATCCAAAGACCGAAACCTTGCCTAAAATGGTACCTATCTTGACAAATTATTTGCGGTGGCCTATATTACGGACCGCGGCCCACTGGGTTGTTAACATGATTGAAAATAACACGAGAGTTTGGCTGTAAAAAAGGCACAAAGAGTAAATACTATTTAACCAGCTACTGTCATAACAGAAAGGTCATATTCCTTTTAAACTAGATCACTCCATCTTTTATAAGATACGTTGTTTAACAATGCATGTAAACGTCAATATTTACGTAACAGCCAATTTACAGTATTTTTTGTTTTTTTTGGAAATGCTGCATTGCTATGTCATTTGCATTATTTGTTGCCAACGAAGGCGCATAATCATTTAAACGAGGAGGTCCCTAAAAGTCCAAGAATAAAAGCCAACTTCACTTCAAGTATATTAAACTACACCTAACTTTCTGTAGATAAAATTAGAGCAAGCCTTGAAAGTAACCGTCGATTTCGACAGGTTTCACCTAGTCTATATATTAATTTGAAACTGGTTTTCTTTGTGACAGCTAATTTGAGAGAACGGCTGGGTGTAGAAACTCGGTAGGGGTCTCTAAAGAAAGGTCTTGGTCTCTAATCTACTTTGAATTCAAAACATATGTTTTTAGCTATTTATTTATTTATTTAATTTGTTTACATACTTTAATAACTTTACTGTGATAATTTCTTTAGTGTCGAAATATGTATTAGGCATAGTTAAAGAAATGATTTTCAGGGTACTAGGTAGCATTTTATTTTTTTACTTAATTATTGAGAAAAACACCCTAAACAGCGAACACGACCTATTATCTAATGATTGTAAATGACAATTATGCTTAAACATAACATAGATGATAGGCTATTTTTTCATTTAATGGACCCAAATCAAATACATTTAAATGTTTTTTTACCTGTTTGATATTTCCCTATTTTTATCACCCCCTCAGATTTCCCTTAAAACTTAATATGATGTTTTTAGTTTTGAAAATAATAAAGTTCACATTGCCTTGTAAACTGATATTCTCATTAAATAAATTGTTTATAATACCCATGATATCACAATTCTTGAATCGCACACTTGGACGACGATAACACATTATAATAGTCATAAAAACTCTTAAATTTGAATGTTTTACACAGGTTTGGTTGCAGATAAATTTCTAATTATCAAAAATATAACATTTTTAACAACGACAAATATTGTAGATTAAGATATTACGCATATTGGGGTGATCTTATCCCTAAGACACATTGAAAAAAGGCATACAGTTCCTAGCCCGTAACTGCAAACACAAATCATTGTAATGTTAGTCTTACATGTCGTTGGGAATTTAACTGGGACACTAAATCACTGCAAGATCTAAATGCAAAGGTAATGACTTCAAATAATTTATAGGATCCATTTTAAATAATTTTAGTGCATCAATGACTTATTTTTTAAACAAAATCTCCAAATTAAAACTCCAAGCTAAATTAAATAAGATAACAATAGTACTGTTTCATTTTGTGTAGTTTCGTCGCAATTAAGTCTTTAAATAAGTAACAAGGTTTAAAAAGTCCCTATTATGGACTAGATTATGTAAGGTAATTCACATTATGATTAATAAAATAGCTAAAACAATACGGGAAACGTCTCGACGAAGATTTCAATAGCTTACACCTTTGAATTTACAAACAAAGATATATCATACAGAAACTGTATAGGCACTTAAATAAGGTATTGTATATGTTTTTGACTAATATATAAAACAATTTCACTTGTCGACACTTATATGCTGTAACCAAAATGTAATATTATAAATTGAATTGTGAATTGTATGTGTACAACCCTATCATATGCAAAATATGCTAAAATCTGTAGGACCCTAGGCTTGATTGTAATTGTTAAATTGTTAGTTAGTAAGGGTTTGTTTGTAGCTTGGTAACCACAATACACGTTCGTTAGAGTTCCATCATCTGGGTCTACACTGTTGTGTAATGTTATTCACTGTGACAGTGGGACACTTGATAATATGTAACATGTGTTATGCGTTCCCCAGACCTAACGTAGGACATTCTGGGTTTGAGCTTATCCCTTGCTGAATCGTGTTTCGTATTATTTCATATTGGAATACATAACTAAGGTTGTGAAAGCTCTAAGACCAACAAGTAATTGTGAAAAAATACACCATAGAATAAATTTCCCCTAGTGAACAAAATATTAGATACAATACCTGATTCAGTAGACCCTTACTTCAATAGTAATTCTGTTTAAATTTCACGATCTACTAAACCACCCAAGGCTTAGTAAAGCCACTTATAACTCGTAAATGTGTTTAAAAGTTTGACGCTAGAGATTACTTGTGTGATTTTATATTATACTTTCAACATGCGGTTAAAAGATCAGAGGCATCAGTTAAAACTGACTTCATTCAATATCAAGTACAAACACAAACCAATTGCAAGACACTAGACATAAGAGCTTAATTAAGCCCAACCATTATGGGCTAAATTTAGCCCATACATTAACACTATTTGAAGCAACAGCTTAATTTATTCGACCGAAATTGTATGATGTGGCTACTAATATTTTAAAAACAACATCGATGGTAAAAAAATAAAAAAAAATTGAAAAAAACTGTTGCTGACCGAAAAATTCTATTCCTCAAATGTAGTGGAAATTGGTAGGGATTTTTATTATATTATTTTGTAGTTTATTTTTTTTTATTATATTATTTTTTATTATATTATTATTTTCTATTATATTATTATTTTTATTATTTTTACAATTATGGGAATTTTTTAATTAAATATTGTTTAAATTAGTTTTAATTTTATTATTTATCTCTAAGTATAATAAACTGTATTTACTAATGTTTTTTTATGATGAAATGAAATTCTGTAATTGAATAAATACCAGTATTTCCAAATAAGGTAACTACTAATAAATGCTTATAAACTAAAATCAATGCAATTATACATACTTTTATTAAGAACGTTTACCAGAGCAACCTCATTTAGGATAATATTGTAGAATAGGATTTAGATTTGCATTAAATAACGAGAGCATGTATGAAATGAAGTGATGAGTTTTCTTTAGAGCTTAAAGTAACCTAAAACACGTCTCAAGATTTCTTGGAGGTTAAATCACTGAGGAGGACATGCCTGTAAAAGAAAGGGGATCAATGCCTCGCTGACAGTGACAGGGCGAGGGAAGAACCAGAGTAATGAAAGTTGCACAAAACGGTCTCCTCAGACAATAGCTCGAGTAAAAGATCTTTGCACCTCTGTTTTTCCATACCTACTCTGTCAGAAAGTGCTAATATGATTTAAAAACCAAAACTTTATTTTGGTATTCATATATTTTTCATTTTGATTTAGTTGACCTAATATAACACGGCCTCAAGTTTCCGTTTAAAAAATATGTCATATCACAAATTTGTTTACAATGGTGGGTTGGTAATTAAAACTTGTAATTCAACTAATGTACTTAGAACAGTTAAACACGTTTAAAACGAATATGAAATGATTTCTGTTTTGAAGGATGTGCAAGATTCAGATCCATCTGCAGTTCATTAGTTTCACTTAGCTGAACAGTCCTGTACAAATTGGGGTAATTCCACGAAAAACATTTTTGTTGAAAATAGAATTATCACACTCTCTAATATTTTCATTTATTACGACTAGCTGTTACCCACGGGCTTCGTCCCGTCTGACTTAATAAGTATTAATACAACTATTGAATGGTTAAGTTAAGCTGAAATAAACAAAACAGAATACAGTAATACAAACAAATAATCACACCTGATTTTAATGAGGTAATACTCAATTTTAAGAATAATATAAAAATAAGTACAGCTGAGGTATTTTTAACATTAGGTATATAGAAAGTTCCATTTAGACAGGAATTATGGAACTGTTAGGGCAATTTATGAAATAATGGATAGTTTTGCGCACGAATACTAGAAAAGACCCGGTATGGATCATAAACATAAACAAATGACGTTTTTGGCCCGAAAGTAAACAAAACCATTTGTTAAGTAATGCTATTAATATTGGGGTTTTGTTTACTTTGGTGCCAAAAACGTCATTTGTTTATGTTTATGATCCATAATGGTATATTCTTTTAGTATTCGGGGTTTTACGCAAGGTTTGTCATCAAGACGAACATTTTAAGTATATGGTTTATGGGAGTGTGATTTGTAGTTTTATCAAAAGTTCGTGGGTACATTGTTTGGGATCTATATATGGATATAGTTTCCGTTAAAGAGAATCTAAATAAATTCGTTCCATGCAACCCAATTCATAGGTATATCTCCAGACAATCAGAAGACTTATATATACCTCAAACCAGGTTAATTAAAGCTATCACAAGTTACACAGTTTTGCAAATAAAACCAATATCTTTAGAAATCAGGAAAAAATTCAATCATTATAAGTCAAAATTATTAGATTGGCTTATAGTCGTGTTTTTTTCAGCCGAAGAGTTTTTGGAAAATGAAGATTTATCAAGAACAGGCGATGATTCTTTGTTCTTGTTATAGTTTTCCCTGTTAATTTAAATTTTTTTGATATTACTTATGTTTTATCCTTTTAAGATTCATTTAAATTTATTTTATTTTACATTTTCTGTATTTAATACAGTGCATAACAAATGTAACAAAACATGTAAAAAATGTGACCTTGTCTATTGTAATTTATGTATAATGGAATAACAATAAAGATTTATTATCATATCAACAGGCTAAAATGGGTTAAACATTTGACAGAATAAATTAAGTTAATAAAGTATCAAATGTACCATAAACAGTGAGTTATTTTAAAATTTCATAACGTTAGAAAATACAATAAGGTTACTAAAACCTTTTCCCTCAGTCGAGTAAAAGGTTCTTTCAATAAAAGGCCACGATTAAAAAGTAAATTTAATTAACAATGTTTAATATCTCTTTACAAGTAATAGGATGGGTCTTAAATAAACTATAGGTACTTATATCACTCTCCGAAACACGGAATCGCAACTTTATGAGGAAGGTATTTATAAAAAGTAATACTTAAAGATAACAAAAGTCAATGTCTTTAAAAGGAAAGCATTCCGTACGCCTCCAAGGTCGACATGGTGATGTAGAAGAGCCAGAGGCTGAACATGAATGCGCTGGTGATGTATTTGATGGTGGTTGGGCCTCCCAGCTCGCCTCCGACGTACTTGCTGCGCCGTATCATTAGAACTGCGATGGCGAACAAGGCTTCTGTGCAGAACAGCATAACCGAGAACCCCAGACTGCAACCAAAGAACAGTGTATATAGACACTCACCTTGCCCTACAAACTACAGGGTTGGCTACCCTTCACTTCGATATGACTTATTTTCAATGGTTCGCCAACATTACAAGATATAAAAGGTGGCTGAAAATGAAATATCACTCCCCTCAACATTCTAGCCATTTGTCATTTTTGAAATCAGTTTGTAGCAACCTTCTTAGTTATAAGGGGCTACAATAATGAAGGTTGATTTTGAACATTTTTCCCTTAGGGGTAGTGGGGGTAGGGGTCGCTCAAAAATTTTAAATGGGAAGTATAGTCGACTTTCTTATAACTTTGCACGTCCTGACAAAATCATACATTAATTGACATAAATAAAATAGAAATCGGACCACTAATAACAAATTGGTAGCACTGGACTTTGGGCTAGTACGGTGTCATCTTTGTCTGTCCCTTCAAAGGTCGTAAACTTTTTGTTATAAATATATAACGCACACGCACACGCACATAAAACCACGAACATTTACAGACGAAAATACTGTATGTAAGCGGGACATGACGTGATCGGGTGGAAATTTAATTCAATCTTTTCGTTTTTGTCCCTAAATTTTCGTATTTTCTATAGGGTTGTGCGTCATATATTTTAGGACTAATGTTGACGACCTTTAAATGGAAAGATAAAGATGACACCACTCTAGCCCGAAGTCCAGTGTTGAAACTAGCTGCCATCAAGTTGCATAAGGATAATATAGATGCAGATATTTACACCAAATTAAAGTGTTTTATCTAATGTCTGAGAAGCTAAGACTCAATACAATAATTTATAAAGAAAAAACTTTTTTAATACAAAACGTTTTTAAATGCACTAAAAAGTAGAAAATAATTTATAAATATGTGGAGAGTATAAATACTTGTAAGATTTAAAACGAAAAACGTGTGGTGCATGCAATAGATGATTTACAATTACCTTCACCTATTGAACTAATGTATTATTATCAATTGCATGCACCCCACGTTATTCGTTTTAAATCTTACAAGTATTTATACTCTCCACATATTTATACATTATTTCCTACTTTTTAGTGCATTTAAAAACGTTTTGTTTTAAAAAAGTTTTTTATTTATAAATTATTTTCTACTTTTTAGTATTTAATGTGTGTGGATGTTATAGTATATTTCGTACCTAGGGCCGAAAATGAGGTTTTGCCGGCTCGAGATAGTTTTTAAGTTCGAGACGAAGTCGAGAACTTAAATCGATCGAGAGCTGCAAAACCATTTCGGTCCGTGGTACGAACGCTATTTTTCACCACACTATACCCTATTACCACTATTCACCACAATAATAATGCACACTGATCGTCAACACAACTACAACTTTAAGGTTATGTGAAGAAATAATTTGAGGAATTTGTAAAAATAAAAATAAATAGTTGCTAGGCAACGGTGAAAATAACACAATTCTATATTGCAATGCTATGGATTTTGATTGTGTATTTAAAACGCATTCATGTTTTAAGTAAGTAAGCTGACAGCTGATTTTGCGGCCCCGGCCTGTAAAAACCTGCTCGGTCCCCAAATTGGCGACAGCTGGCATGGCCAGCAAAACGTAACTTTCAGCCACCAATTAACGTATGTAATACAGCCAAAAACATCATAGTGTGGTGAAAAATCTATTTCATGCATCTATATCAGATTAGGACAGAGGCATGTGGGAAATTTAAGGTTTATTTGAGTTTCTTTTCGTATAATTATGTATTAGATCGAATGTATGGCCTACCTACTAACTATAAATATATCAATCTTTTTAATTTATTGTTTACTTTATAGAATACTAAATCAATAACAAATGACATTATTAACAAACACCTTTATATTTGCAATCAGATTGTTTATCTTTATTTTGAAATGTTTGTTTGTATAAAGAATCTCTTGGGAGCAGAACCTGCACCTCTTAACCTCTGCTTTTTGAACTGTCAAATTAAAGTATTTACAGCTGACTTTAATTAATTGATATATTTACAATCTTTCAAAATGTAAACATGAAAAATTTGGAAGCCAGTGGGGCGGAAGCCCAAGGGAAATATGAAAATTAAATGCTATAATATTGCATTGTCATCCACTTGTGGGCTATGTTTCAAATTTCAAGTCTCTAGCTCATCGGGAACTTCGTTTAAAATTGATATCAAAATTTGTAGGAAAATGAGCTAATAAAAAACAAGCTCATGGGGCGTAGCCCAAGGGAAATATGAAAATTAAATGATATAATATTGCATTGTTATCCATTTGTGAGCTATGTTTCAAGTTTCAAGTCTCTAGCTCACCGGGAAGTATCAAAGTTTTTAAGAAAGCAAGTTAATAAAAAGAATCCCGTGGGGCGTAGCCCAAGGGAAATATGAAAATTAAATTATATAATATTGCATTGTCTTCCATTTGTGAGCTATGTTTCAAGTTTCAAGTCTGTAGCTCATCGGGAAGTCAGTATAAAATTTATTGCAAAATTTGTACCGGACAAGAAAGCGAGCTAATAAAAAGGTTTTAAAATACAAAAATAAACATATGACGAAAAAGTCGAAGTTATCACACAAGAAAATTAATTATATACTGACAGGGTCCAGCTACAAGTATATAAAGAATCACTATAAAATGAACAACAGCATATTAAATACTACATCAAGATGTACACTCAGATCGTTCCAATTATCAATCTTTGTTTCAATAATTTGGTGGGTTGTAAGTAAATGTCTGAAATTGAAAAACAAGTTATTCGACTAATTTCAACCAACCCAAACTGTAATTTAGAAATTAAACATAAAATATTTTGGAAAAATGTGATTGTTTGTCCTACTTAGAAAAATTGAATCGCCGAATAACAGAGTGAGATGCAGTTTACTTACTTTCCCGGGGGCACGATGAACACGTTGCCATGCATTGCGTGATAGATGGCCGCGATGGACCAAGCCACTCCAATGCCCAGGAATACGTTGACAGCGTTGCTGCCAGTCACATTGCCTATGGAGTTGTCAGCAGTCGCGTCTTGTATGGCGGCCACCTTGCTGGCGAACGTGTCTGCAAAACGAGCGTCAGCATCACACCTAATTCGTAATGCGGGCTGAGATGATATGCGCAGAGTTCATACTGACGAATACGAAGATTCAATGTTTCTTTAGCTAGGGCCATTCACAATGCACAATGAACAATGATCAAGGATGGTTGGTTCCAGTTTAGATCCACTAAAAGCTACTGACATCACTCCGAACCGAGCAAGCGATTTTCTTACTACTGAGACCAACCAACCATGTGTAGTTCACCCACACAATCAACATTCTTTTCCCAACACAATAAATCTGTATACTGTACTAAGTGAATTTTGAGCTTCTCCTTTATTTTTTTAATCCAATAAGTTAAGCAAGGGGAGATATAGTGAAATAAACGCCTAGTGTAAATAACACGGGCTCAGTTAGTACTTAGGTTTCCTGCTATAAAGAACAAAACATTCGCTATTTTTAATATAAAATGTTTTACTTTTAATGTTTGAATGGAAAACAAATTGAAAAAAATACAAGCAAGAAATTTTCAGCAATCTTTATCATAGGAATATTTCCATGACCAAAATTTAGTCGAAATAAAATGTTAAGACACTAAATGCTAACAAAACTAAAACTTTGGATTTCTTGAGCAAAGATATTTTCGGTGAAATAGTAAAAATAAAACAACTTCGGGGTATAAACTCTTCTCCCCTTCTTATAATTGGATCACATTTAATTACTGATATGTTTAAAGTCATTACAATAAACGTTCCATTCCAAACAACAACAACCTATTTGAATCAAAAGTTAGGGATAATCATAAAAAAAACTTCAAAAATTTATAAAAGAACACCCAAAGACGTTATTTTTAGTATTAGTAAAAAATATAAGTAATCCAAGTAGATTGTTAGTTGTGTTATTTAAAGAGTCAATCAACAAATGTACAGTTCATTGAAATGGAAAAAGTTATGTGAAACAAAAAAAAAAAAAAAAAAACTGAACAGAATAGTGCCAGTAATGTGAACTAGTCCATAAATCATTTATAAAGAAATCAGTTAAGCTGTCCAAATAACACTTTTGTGAATATAAATATTTCCTCCTCAGCATACCTGCAGACTAAGCGACTTCCAATTCGTCAGTTTGTGATTTTTAAGTTAATTGGTTCCGGATCTAAGGTATGAGCTTCTTCCCTATAGGACAATTCATTAAAAACAAAATATTTTTCACGAAGCCAACTAAACTGCTGTTTACTACTGGTTAAGGGTAGTTAAAATGTGATGCAGATGAATAACCCAATAGTTGGAATACCAGGACCCCTTGTAGATTTGGTTTACAATGAGCAGGGTATTTATGTTAACCACATGTTGTTCAAAGCTAGGTTTTACAGTGTTGTTAAGGATAATTTTAGTTTAAAAAAAAAATCGAAAACTATGATATGAAATATTTGCTGAAGTCTGAATATTCCTGCATTGAAAAATAGGAAAAACCTGGCAATGTTTATCTAATGAAATGAGTTATCTAATGGAACACTTACCTGTCGATAAAAACATAATTACTCTGTTATTATTAGTATTTAAGAAAACAATGCCGAGATTGTTAGTATTATCACATTCCACATGATAGCTCACATACCTGGCAGGCTGGTACCCATAGCTACCAGGCATATAGCGGTGACAGCGTCCTTGATACCCACAGTGCAACCCAAGTGGGAGGATACGTCACCGATGACGGCGGTCAACACTCCAATGAAGGTGATGGATGTCCAGAAGCAGAGCCATCCGTTACACCACTCTACAACAGCACTATTCATTATAACATCGTAAACGCGTGAGTATCACTGTAATATGTGTCCATTATACCATTATAGTGGGAGGGTATATAACTGATGATGCCTGTCAGCACTACAATGAAAGGGGTAGATGTCCAGAAGCAGCCCCTATTACCTAAGTATTAACAAATTAGCTATATTATTCTCAATGATTGAGAAATACAGGGTGATTTGTACTCAGTGTGACAAAAACTTTTTGGTGTAAGTACAAAGTAAATTAAGTGTGATGATGCATATAAAATGTTCCAAGTCTAAAAATTAGCTTCCCAAAAAATTATTTTATGTTTTTCAAAAATAACCATGCTTTTAAACGTAATACAGCGATTTCTTAAATGCAATTACCTGTATATGGATTTGAGTAGATAATGTCATTTTCGTGTTCTACATAAAATTTTGAATAAGAATAATACAAAATGACAGAGGATCAGTTGTAAAAACTCCATTTTAAATAGATCCAAAGATAAAAATTCAGATTTTTGATATAAGTAAAAAAACAATGGTCTATTGCATTTTTCACACCCTGTATACAAGAAAGTGTCGGAATATGTTAAAAACTGCACCATTTTATAAGCTTTCCAACCATATGCTACACTATTGAGGTTTAGATATTTTAATGTTTGTTTTAGTGGTTTGAATGCCAGTAAACAGGGAACTTTTTTACTGTTTTACTGTTCAAGCTGAAACAAAAATACAACTTTTGCTTATATTAATACATACCGACTTTCTATGTTTTAAATGTTAAAGACACTATGTTTTGTAGTCTTCAAACCACTAAAGCGAACATAAGAAGACATAAAGCTCAATGGTGTAGCGTATGGTTGGAAAGCTTATAAAATGGCACAGTTTTTAACATATTCCGACACTTTCTTGTATACAGGGTGTGAACAAATGCAATTGACCAATGTTTTTTATTTTTTATTTTTATTTTTTTTTATTTTTATCAAACATCTTAATTTTTATCTTTGAATCTATTTAAAATGGAGTTTTTACAACTGATCCTCTGTCATTTTTTATTTTTCTTATTTAAAATTTAATGTAGAACACGAAAATGACATTATCTACTCAAATCCATTTACAGGTAATTGAGAAATAGCTGTATTAACTTTAAAAACATAGTTATTTTTGAAAAGTACTGTATTAAACAATTCTTTGGGAAGCTAATTTTTAGACTTGGAACATTTTATATGCATCATCATACTGCATTTACTTTGTACTTACACCAAAAAATGTTTGTCACACTGAGTACCAATCACCCTGTATAACTGTGATTACAGCAGTGAGGTTCTCAGTACCACCTTGATTGTTCTCTCGTAATTCAGAGGCTTATTTTGATATAGAGGGACAGCAAACCTAGACCAAGTTCATAGACGTTAAGAAGTTTAACCCAGCAATCATTATATAGTAAGGACAATTTTGTAACTAGACCCAAAACATCGAGAGTCAATGAATTTCTGATGAAGATTATGGAGAACCACCAATTTTCAAGGGTAGTATTTTCATCATAGTCAGTATCTTTAGAAAAATCAATTGTGTTTTATAAATTTTGTCACGGAGGTTTTACTTCTCTAAAGTTATTGGATTATTAAGTCTCAGGACTATGAGATACGTTAATACAACAGAAACAATGAAAACTCAAAAAAATATTTTAGTTCACAGCTAATTATTACTCTTCATGAATTCTGTTTTACGTTTTTAGGGTTTAGGAAATATTGAAAAAGTTTTACAATGGGGTTATTTCAATCAATTAGTAAATTATATATAAAAAAAACTAAAAAGATGTAATACAACAACCAAACTGCAAAAATACATTTATTATTCTTGATGATAAACCATTTTATAAAAGTCATTGTTCCTGAAAACAAACACAAGAACAAACTAAGAATCTGTGAGAGTACGATTTCTAGATATATTTTATGTCCCATCATACAGTATGATTCCTTAGTTCCTAAAAAATAAATGAATAATAACACTTAAAGATACTTGATTTAGAATTAACATTCATAATTATATTGTAATAAATTATTCTCTAATCCTTGTTTTACATAATTTGTTTTAATCAAATTATATGTATCCCATTAACAAAGATTCCATTGTAACTTGCAATTAATTACAAACTACTTTTTATTCTTACAAGGAAGATTAATCAGCAAATTCAAATCACACAAGGCAACGGACAATTTAGGGGCTACGAACACTTACACACTTTTTACCTTAAAATTTGGAGTTGTCGATCTTATCACTCCAGGAGACATTCCAGCTTCTTACCTTTTGCACGCAATTGTGTTATAAGCTTATATGTTTAATTTTAGCCATTATCGTCAGCCAAAAATACGACGTATTAATGTCGTGAGATTTGATATACCACGTTACCGTAGACTATAGTTATTTTCCTACAGTTACCTAACAATGTACGTGTTCTCTCACTGATTAGAAGTGGCCAATTCGCTCATCAGTGAGACAATGTTAACATTGTCTCACTCTAATTACTTTGTCTCACTCACTCCAGATTTGCAACGTGAAGGCACGAAATAGTGAGCGCTTAATATGCAGACAAGGTCGTATGCGCGCAAAATACGTTGGCAGCACTGGCTGTAAATCAGCTGGTCAGCTGTTGTACTGTTGGTATCATTAAATGTAATATTAAAAGTTCACTTCTGTGTAAAAATATCTCACGATTATTTACCAATTTATTTGTTTTATGGTAACTGTAGGAAAAATATAATGTGAAACTCGAGTGCAAAGTGAAATTGCCTCACTCGAGAAACCATGCCTCACTCGCCTACGGCTCGTGAGTAAGTATTTCTCTCGAGTGAGTCAATTGCTACCTTTACTCACTAGTTGCACAAATAACTATTGTAACTAGTGAGCAAAGTGAGCAATTGCCTCACTCTCGAGGAATGGTTTCTCGAGTGAGGCAATTGCACCTAGTAACTCGAGTTGCACATTATATGTTTCCTACAGTTGCCATAAAACAAATAAATTGGTAAAGAAACGTGCCTTCACGTTGCAAATCTGGAGTGAGACAAAGCAATTAAAGTGAGACAGTGTTAACATTGTCTGGCATTGAATTATGATCTGCGTGTTAAAATGTGATCTGTATAGACACATTACTAGTCTAGGTAAGTTTATTGTTAGATCCTCATTTTTGGTCTTGCCCGTTCTGGAGCATCTGAATAACTTTGGTGGAAACTATATAATACAACGAAACGTTTTAAAGCAGATCTGATAATGTTTAATCAAAACTTAGTAAGAACTTAACCCAATTACGGGACACATCCTGATTAATCTCTATCAAACGCAATTCTGATCTGATTCGGTTTTGATTAAAGCTGAGTCAACCTTTTCTTTTATACAAGCTAGGAACTAAGCTCTGCCAACATTTATACCCAATCATGTCTTATATTTGAATAAGATGCTTTACATGGTCTTACAATAAGATGCATTTTGCTTTTAAGCATTGGAAAAGTTTTATGTTATTTTATTGATACTATAAAAGGTAATACATCTAGGAGGAACCACATGTGTAAATAAATTAATGTTTTGATGCGATAGTTGGATGAATTAAGGATTTTACTTTCAAAGTTATTATAATATACTATAATTAACGAGCAACAAAACAAAGTCACATTACATTTACAAATGAAAAAGGGGATTCCTATATTACTTATCCAAGCTATGAATTATGGAATTATTATATTATTACTTGGATCTTCAAGGCTTCTACACGATATAAGACATGTACTGCTTACATTTAGCAGTAACTTGTCATATTTTTTTATTGTGTCCTTATTTATCTAGTTTTTACTTAATTCTAATACAGAAAATCTAGCAGATATATACTTACTTTCTGTTTATCCTTCCAATGCTGCATGCACTCTTCAAGTAACTGCGGAAAAAATTAATAACATCATAATACAACAATTTGTGTATAGTATTAACAGTGATTTCGAGCGTATCATGTGGAAAGTTATAAAGTGTATTTATCGGCTAATCCTAGTATAACTATATCGGCTGACTATGGCTGATCGGTGAGTTCCCTGGGGAAATGGTGTACCTACCAGGCACGCTGGTCCCAAGAGCCACGAATGTGATGGCCGTCACAGCGTCTTGCAGACCCACCGTGCATCCAAAGTGAGATGCCAGGTCGCCGATCACGGCAGTCAGCACTCCAATCCAAAATATGGAGAACACAAAACACAAGTATCCGGAACACATATCTGAGGACCAACCAACTGGTTAAGCGACACACATCTCAAAGGGGACAAATTTACTCGCCTTGTAAACGAAACTTTTACATTGACGCTTTCTGATACAATGTGAGAAAAACCTTTACCAAAGTTAAAAAATATAAAACTATTACTTGTTGAATCATTGATAAATCATTTGGTAAACATTAATTAATTAGAGTCTGTAAAATTGTAAATTTCAAAACTGAATAAAAATATGAAACGTAGAAGGTTCATTGCTCATACGTATATAAATGAAACAAAATGAATAAAACAATGTTTTTATTTTCATGGTATAATAGTTTCTGAGGCAAATTGTAGATATTCTGGAAATTATGAACCAAAATATGACTTTTATGTATTTACAATACCAGACAGTAGCGTCAATCGTAGTAATGTGAGTGTAACTTGTTTTGTGGGATGCCACTTTCAAACACTTTCAGGAAGTAAGTTAAATCCACTTGAGTAGGTTCGTTAGTGGTTTACACAAACGACAAACAACGTCAATCCACGACAAATACGAAAAACAATAATACTTTTATACGAAAGGCCTATCTCGGTCCCGAGGATACATTGCCATAGCTACAGACCCCGCCTCGTGTGTGCTCCTGCTTGCGGACGAAGCTATTCCTTACCGTAATACTATTCATGCAGTACTAAACAATTTTTTGTTCATCGTGTATTAATTGCGTCATACGTTTAAGCCAATAACAAAGCGATTATCTGGATATTGCAAGTGAATTTTACGTCCTTCCTAGCCTGTGATGTTTGAAAATGGCACATGTATTGGAACTGCTATAAGGTATTGTAAAGTTAGTATAAGTCAAAACATAGTAGATTCAAGGCTTTTACAATGAATGACTGAATGTTATTTCAAATTTGTCCCATGTGAGCCAGGTGCGAAGTAGCAAGCTACAAAACCCACACAAACACACACTCACACAGCTGTGATGTACATACACACACGCACACTCACTCGCAGGCACACTCACCAGCTGGCGGTACAAATGCAAACAAGATTTTCCAGAAGATCGTGAGGAAATGTATAAGGTATCCTCCACAGCCCGTGGTCTCTGGCAGACCGTCCTCCTCGCCTTCTGGCGGCTCTGTAACGTCGGGTGTTGGTGAACAAAGGGAAACAACTGTATAATAGTAGGAAAAATACTTTGAAAATTTCGTACGTAAAGTAAACTACAAATAAGAAATAATTATAACACAAAGAGCATCTTTAACTGAATGTAAGTAGTTATTGACCTTCCAGGCACTGTGAATAATCATACAATTTAAATTATTTATTCACTAAAAGGTTGTTGTTACGGATACATATATTTTTATTTTACATCTTATGCAAAAGTAACAACCGTAAACAAAATTAAAATATCATGAAAAAATATATCTATATAAATAATATATTATATATAGATATATTATTTATATAGATATATTTTTTTCATGATATATTAATTTTGTTTTGATTTTTGTTTGCTAAAAGGGATGTAGCAAAGAAACCCCTTAATGTTTTACGTATACGTAAATAATATACAATAATATACGTATAATATACGTTTTAATATTAGATACGTAAAACATTAAGGGGTTTCTTTGATACATCCTTTTTCAGCCGTCTTGCTTACACAGATGTTTATGATTGATGTGTAATTTAAAAGCTTACTATCTAGTGGAGGGACAAATAGTAACGAAAAACGTAATTTTCTTCTGGGATTTACCTACTACGAGTTTAATTTATTTCTAGAGTTTACCTTTAAAGATTCAGTGATGCTGACTAAAATTTATAGTGGTTTAAATATGAATTGCACTTTAACAGCTGAGCATTCAGTTAAACGTTTAACCGCAGTGTGATTGCAAACAAGAGAGAGTAACATTTTATGCAACTGAATTTAAATAGGTTACTTTTTGATAGTTAGTTGCAGAATCTTTCTTTATGGTGTTTTAAAGGAAACCGATCAATTTAATTCATTATGAATTAGTAGTTATTCACCTGATTGTTTTAAACAAACATAATCTTTAACACGTTGGGTGCTGATGACGGGAATTACCGCAATTGCTTAACATTGAAATAAATGCAACTTTTATGTTCAAACATGTCGACAGCACAAATAGTGTTAAAAGGTAAAAGGGCATTGTTTTGCCTCGGAAAAAGGTTTTGACCCCTATTAAAATGCGTCATTTGCTCATGGGTTCCCTCGTAAATTACAACAATACAAACAGCTGATGGTTTACCAGGATTGACCCGAATGGCCTCAGCGAACTGTTCGCCCCAGGAAGACGTTGATACGGAGATGGCGGAGGCTCCTCGCTTCTGGACCAACTTGTCCACCGTGTTCTGCAACCAGATCAATCCCAAGTTAACAAGCAGCTTCACATGCTGGCAATTAATCAAATTACCTGTGCCTTTAGTGTAAATTGTTACAATTCCTGTTTAGCAATTACAGAGTTTAGTATTCTTAGCGCAAACCATTGAAAAGTTAAAAGGTGGAATCCATATTTTTGCCTAGCCCCCGTCATATCTTTCGTCAGTTAAGAATTCAAAGGATTAAATATATCAGTAGAGGAAATAAACTGAATGCCAAAGTCCCTATGGCATATTGTTCGTAGAGATCCCTCCAATTGAATCCCTCTTCTTTGCCCATCTTAAAATCACTTGATACATTAGTCCAGACAACTTCTGGACTAATGTATCGGACTCAAGTTCGGAGTTCCTCGCGGTAGTATTCTTGGACCATTGTTTTTTATTGTGTATATTAATGATCTATCAGCTCATATTCGTCCAGATAAGTCAATATTTTATGCATATGAGACAACCGTTAGGAGTTCCTCGTATCAATTTACAATCTCGAGTTGAATAATCAGCTAATTCACTTATCTCTGTACAATCTTAGAATGGACTCCAATAAGACTGACTAACTCTCAATAAGTATCCTAAAATGGCTTCATTAAATAATTTTGAGATCAAGGAGTGCTCAGTACGTCATTTTAGGTCAAATAGTAGGTAATTGTCGTCATGCTGACAACATATTACGCACAACATATTACATGTGATAATGTATCACAGCTTTATGACAGTTGGACCGCATCTGCCATGGATTGAGGACGCTGCTCCCTCTTCTTGAATAAAAATATTAGTTACAGTCTACTATAGCTGTTTTTCCTCTGTCATGACATATAGTATTGATTTCTAGGATGGTCCCTTCCATGCTGCTAAGGTCTTTGCCGGTTTAAAACAGGACTTTGAGTATCCTTAAAGGCTACCACCATGTAGATCTATTCATCCAAATAGCATTTATTTAGATAATTCATCCGTTCACAAACAAAAAAAATTAAATGGCCTATAAGGATGAAAAAAACCATAAAAGGCTAATATTATGTATTATAATATTGTTGTGGATATTCACATACAGAGCAATAATGTCGGCAGTTAATCATATGAAGGATATTCCATCGGTTGGTTGATGTCGCACAATTTGTGTATTCATTGCCATTGGACATCGTCGTACTCCATGACATCCACTCTCTAAAATGAATGCAAATTTTTCTGGGCCCTTCATGAAAAAGTAAAGCATTGCTGTTCATGGTTGGTTCCAAAGGGTTTTCGTAAGCAGCAGGGAAAGTATCCAGTGGAAGAGAAGTTTTACAGTATCCAGGAATTCCTGTATGTCTAACTCAATTAAGCATGGCATTATATTTTATTTGTACTGTATACATGTTTTACTATAGAATAAATAGGCTACATAATTAATTGTTTCTTTTTAAAGTTTACTATACTACTCTATGTAGGCTACTAGTTTTATGATTGAGATGTGCATTGCATTTTTACTTAATTCATGAATAAAATATAAGGTTAACGCTTCAGTTAGATCAAATTTATATACACTTAAGTGCAAAATACGGAAACAGAAATTTTGTAATAATAAATTGTTTTATAGTAAGTAACAGTAAATATTGTTTAGTAAGCTAAGGCAACCCATGGAAACCCATAATACAATAAGTTTTTCTTCATCATTATGTGTTACTCTTTATGTCCTGTCATGATTTTTCAATGTCTGGATGGCCATCTTTAAAAAAAGAATTCTGTTGATAGTTTTAGTTTATGATAAACTAAAAAAAAAAAAATATGATAAACTATGTGCTCAATATTCGTTGGTCTAGTTTCTTATTTTGTAGATTGTCGAGTTATAGTCAAATAAATGGGTTTAATATATTTTATTTTATGTGTACCGGTATATGAAGTTTCCATAAAAATATAAACGTCATTAATAGGTAGACGATTCAACAGTGACGGGCAAATATAATGTTAAATATATTAAACTATGCAATAACAATGAAAAACGTTTGGATCTGTGTTCGGATTTTCAGATTCCCTTAATACATGTTTGGATTTGCACAAAGCCCAACAGAATAGCTGATTGATAGGGAGTAGGCTATCAAGCTTAGCTAAATCTTACTCCAAACAAAAAATTGATTTCGCTAACTACGCAAAGTCAGAATAATTTTTACTATGTAGTATGTAAAACTTATTGCAAAGTAGTCGATGTCTTACAATTATATCAGATTTTACAATAGATATTATTGTTCAGCATTAGTTTTGTTTCGATTAACAGACAATTTACAGCGCATAGTTGTTTATATATGTTTTCATCCCATTAAACTTTGGGTGTATTTTATAATGACACCATATAATAATAAATTACAAAGAAGAAAATACTTCATTTGCCAGAAGGTGTCGAATTTTGTTATTGTTCATGCTACGAGATTCTTAAAGCTCATATTCATCAGCAATATTGCATTATAATATTGTGATTTAGATAACAAAACTGGAAATAGGAACCACCAGTGAGCTGACATGGTGACATCACTCTAGGCTTACAAATATGTTGTCCGATTGAGATATTTCCAATTATGCGTACGCAAAAACGTTTAAAATTACAACATTTTCAATGTTTATTTCCATGAGTGTATACAAAGGTATCTGTAAATATTCAACAAATATCGCTCGATGTGATAGGTGTGTTTTAATACAAGAAGCTGAAAATGAACTGTAAACAGCATGAAAAATTACTACATTTGACTCCTTCTGGCAAACGTAACTAGATTATTTTCTATAATTGAACAAATGTGTTGTTTGCAGCATTGAAAATAAATGATCAAATATTTGTCTTTGTTAAATTTTTAAGCATTAAGTTTCAAAAGTATGGGCCATTGTTAGACCTAGCTATCGAACCTTGAACTCGTCGCTTTCCCTAATGTTGATCTGCACCCTGGCTATCGCTCCTAGCTTTGGCCTGCCCTCCATAGCAATCTTCTCCTCAGAGGTCATCTCCTCCTCTCGCTTGTGGTTAATGTTATTTGGCACTTGGTTGTCTTTGTCTGTAACATAAAATATTTCAACTCACTCTCTAGCATAAGTCAGTTAGTGAACGTCTTAAGACTAAGTTGAGCCTTTGGCAGTCAGACCATTAAATTACAGATAGATTCGAATAGCCTGGTAAACAACATTACATAACATAAATATTTTGTATCAGATTATGACCACTTTGTGATTAAGCCCAAGAAACTGAAGCAGTTTATTTCATAACCTCTAATGAGTTATGATCTCAACGTGTTGGACAATAAAAACGGCTATCTACATTATTTTGGCATCAATTATCTTCAAATTTCACATTGCAGGATCTAACATTAGTTTATCTATCAAAAAAATTAATCCCAATTCCATTACCTGTTTTAAGAACATAATTTCAGAAGACCAAGATTTTCATACCAATTCTAATTTTGTATTAATTACAGTTAGTTTTGATATTAAAGATAATTGTTTAATGCCTATACACCATTAATAAAGGCAGCTGATTCGTATTTTGGATACTTAAGAGTATCGATTAGTATTAAATGAATCAAAATGCTATCCCAATGCAAAAAAAAGGGATTTAGTACAATTTGCGTCAAATTTGGTGGGAAGATTCAATTCCAAGAGATTTGGTTTTCGCTCACGCCCTTTACCTTCGTTCTTCGTTTAACCCTTTCATACCCCCATTTCCCGTTTTCATGTTGAAACTTACTCCGTACCGGCAACATGTCACGTAAGCAATCGTTCATATAATGTGATTGACTTTTCTCCTACCTTATTTAAAAATCTGCAATGACTTGATTGGAAATTATATTTACATCCCAGATGTAAATATATATATATATATAAAATGAAATAAAATTATATAATAAATGAAATAAGCTGTTATTATAAAATTGCTTTTTATCATAGATTTTATATTTCTCAAAAATTTGCATTATAGAAAAAAATGCAACACTGTGCAAAAAAAGTGTAAAAAAGTGCAAAAAAATATTTCATGAATTGTTCAATGTACCAATTTATCAAAACCAGTCTTTCCCTAAATATCAAATTGTATCATCACATATTTCTGATGATGGCGCATAACATCTCCCAATTGTTGAGGTCCTGTGGTCATAAAGAACTAACTAACCAACAACTAACTGTGGTACCTAAACTCAAAAGCATTATTTATCAAAAGTTATTTGGTTAGATTGGATTATGATAGAGATTAGGTGGCGGCAAACGGTGGAAGCTGTAAAATAATCCAATTTATTAATTCCAAGCAGGAAAAGTGGAATTTTTCAAACATTAGCCTAAATATTTAATAATTAAGTAATGAAAATAGGGCTCGGATTGTAAAAGTCATAATGCCACCCACGTTTAGTCGGAAAAAGAAATTAAATAAAAACTAAATTGTTCGGGAAATTACTGTATGGAAATAGTGTAATCTACTCGTTTAATAACGTTTTAAAATTAGTAATGATAATACATTACTCATAGCTATCGGATAGGTGAAATATGTTTTATGATTTGAATGTTTTTATTGTGTTTCAAAGAAAAAAAAAATATATTCAAGAGTGCAAGTTATCATGAAAAGAAAGTTCCCTCTCGAATGACATCTGTTTTTGTTTAGTTTACTCTAAGACTTTGAACCACTGGCTTCAACATCATCGGTGGGCATCGAACCTGGGCCAACTACATAAAAACGACCTAATCGAACATATAGAAATGCTGCACTTTGATGTTACCTGAACTGAATACTGTAGAAGGAAGTGCATCCACGGAAAGAACCAGACCATAATGGGAAGAGCAAAGAATTCATATATTTCCCGAGACATTATTTTATAAATGTCACTTCCATTTTGTTTGTCTAAAGCAGCCGCTTGCATGGTACAGATCTGCCAGAAGTGCGACAAGTTTACGTCATAGTCACCATGACAACGGAATGTACGGTAAATACGATGCGCTTGATCAAGGGTTATCGTTTGTTGCTGTTTGGCGTCTTTTGATTTGTTTATGTCAGGGTTATGAAAACCTAAAATACTTACCTATGAATCTTTTTGATTTGTTTTCTTATACATACAATTAGTTATTACATACTTAATGTTAAATCTATTCTCGTAGTAGGTGAAAGGGGCAATGCATGCATAAGATGGGCACATAATGCGTTGATTACATATCAGAGGAGTCAAAAGGTAGGATATAATTGTTTCAGCTCAGTTTAGTCTGTGTATTACATACAATACTGTACTGCTGTGTTGCATAAAGATCAAACGGTAATATACTAGTAGTATTGTAATCAAACTGGCTTGTATAAAAAAGTGATCTTGTTTAAGTAAGACCCTATCGAAACATTAAGGAGAAATTGTTGTTTACTTACCTCAAAACTTCTCAAAATATTTTTACTTCCCCCCACCAAAAGGATGTATGTTTTGATACCCTCTATTCTCTAGTCATGTTCGTCGTCATTCTATCAGTATGAGTGCTTTCATAGAAGACTACGAGTTCAGTCACTGATTTAGAATAAACCACATAATATTTTATGAGTGCCCAAGCTTCACTTTGCAATCTTTCAGTTTTAAACAATTAGAAAAAAAATTAAGAGGCGAAACCATGACCACTCATGACTATTCATTGTTTACTCATTGTTTATTCATTTTTAATGTGCTTATTGTGAAACATGACTAAATTTGAATACGTTTTACATATACTAAGACCCTCTCAAAATATTTACCACGAACAAAGCGTAAAAGCATACACCACGTTCACTCTAAACACATTTTTCGAAGATGGCAGATTCTCTCAATGTAGGATTCTTGGGAAAGAGTTACAATATGATGATAAACATTAGAACACATCTCAGGCCGGATGTGTTTACACAATTTGTTTTAAATTTAAGTAACCTTTACCCACCCCACCTTTCCAAAAAATACACTGTACTATAAAAAACTAAAAATAATAAAATTTTAAAAAGCTAAATTTTAATTTATTTTGGATAAATATGACGTAGAAAATAATATGTAACGAAGCGGAATAATTTGGATGGGTACGATAAGGAAAACTAATGAAAATTGTTTTATAACGCTAACAATAATTTGTAAAACAAAGCTTTACATTTGTACTTTGTACAGATTATATATTCATTTATTCAATGGGTTTTTATTAAAATGTTTCATGTTCCTGACTCTGCAGTCCCTAAGGAACTTATTTTAAAATAATTTTTGTATTATCTGCAATCAAAAGTTGGTTTGGTTTATGACTGTGGGGTTATGAAGTGGGTCTAGGTAATTATTTTCTTATCTCAGTAGTTAAATCTTAAATCTACTCTAAAATAATGTGTATGATTTGTAAAAAAAAAAAAAAAAAAACAGTCAACACTTTAGTTCAGTAAATCGTAATTTGTGGATTCATATGTACATTATTATACGAAGTAACCACAAACAATTATTAGCAAGTCAGAATTTAGTAACCTGATTCTCTGGTATCTTTCAATTTTTGTTAGTTTTAGGTTTAAGGTTTGTAAAACAACTAGTATATAGTTTTGTATATTCAAAATATTAAAATATGTGATAGTGCATAACAGATTTTGTGATACAACAATCTTTCTTATACCTAATTATAAGTTATGGTTCTTGCAAACATGTTCGTTGGTGTATAAAGATATTTATTACATTTATAAACGCATATATATTTTTAAAGGGTAATGTGCTTTCAATGGATCAAATTTTTGTAGTATTTTAAGTTTATATAAAAATGAAACGCATAAGGATTTAAAACTTGCTAATTTGGAATGCATCCAAAGTTATAAATCCAGTAGACAAGGAGTGCTTAGTAATATGGCAGCGTGATTTAAAATGATATATCTGAGGTTACATTGTATATATTCCGGGCAGATTCCTGGGAATATTGCCAACGCTCATATATCCTCACCTAAGCATAACTTAACGCTAAGTTACGGTAGGTAAACGTAAAAGTTTCAGCAATAAACCCTCCATGGACGCTTTAATCTTGCTTGCGTGTTATGGGAAATCATAAAATAATAAGTTTTTACCCGACAATACTGCAATGATCGACGAGATATATAGAATTGGTTCTTATTCAACCATCTTTAATTTTCCATTTAGTCTTACCACATTCAGGGTGTAGTTTTGCAACAAAGAAATAATATTTTTGCAAATTAATCATGCTTTGCTAGAACTTTTAAAATATAAGTAAAAATCAACTATCAATAGTTTGTTACATTAACCTGTCTTTGAATGCATTATTATAATGATTTTTCTACTAAAATCATGTTGATATAAAACTAGAAATATAAACAAATACGAAAAGAAAAATATTTGTCAGGTAGACGTATAATTAGTCCTTCTACCAGGCAAAAAATTAACCTTTTAAACAAGAATATTGACTCTTTTTCTGTTAATCATGCAATATACTGTATCTATTTTCAGCCCTAGTATAGGTAGTTTAGTGCCTTGATCATATGAATACGCCAATGTTTGGTGTTTACTTATTAACAACGTGCAATGTTACAAGAACATTCCTATGTATTGAAACATAGAGTTAGTGTTTTCAAGATAACATACAATTTAGGGATATAGAGTTTTGTATCAGGTCTTCATACAGGATTAATTGTGAGTTTATTATTCCCTGCTACAAAGGTGAAAGATCAAAGAGAACTGTTGCAGAACTCGCAATGTTTCGGCAGAGCAAGTGATCAAAGCTGAAACTGTAAGCAATATTTTATCCCTTACCAAGCAAGATCGAGTTATTTACTATATGAGTTGCTGTGTCTTTTATAAAAAATTTGGCAGAACTATGTTATATTACGTTTAAGTATAACCCTTACACATTAGTCTACGTTTCCTGCTCTACCACATACAGTATTTTATGGATCATCAGGTTTAAATCTTGATAAAATTTATTCTTAGTGGATTCGTCGATTTTTGAGGTATAGTTTGTAATGGGTGTACAAATAGTGTATAACATTTTCATGATTCTACCTAAATACGAATTAAACTGTGTGTGTTCCATTGACCATTTAGAGAAAATATAAAGTTTAAGTTAAACACATTAGGAATATTTTTATTACCTAAAAGGCAAGCATAACATCAACTATCAAAACCATCTCAATTGATTAGGAACCCAAACAAAGCAGTTTTATGTTAATTAAGGTAAAATAAGCTAGTATTTGAATGAGGCAGGAGTTATGCAGGAATTCATCGATGCAGTATGATAAGTTAAACAAATAGCTTCAGATATGTTAGTGTACAGCCATCACTCCATGAATAGGAGACTCACGACCAAGACTTCCATAGGAGCCATAGAGATAGGAGTGGACAGCGTTGGCAGCGATCACACTGGCGGAGGGTGATCTAGTCGACCGTTCAGTCTCCACAACTTACAACAACAAAGTAACGATTACAATATATACATAACAATATTAGTTACTAGGGACATTACATGATGAGTAAATATAGGAGTAAACAGCTTTGGCAGCGATCAAACTGGCGGAGGGTGATCTAGTCGACCTTTCAGTCTCCACAACTTACAACAACAAAGTAACGATTACAATATATACATAACAATAGTAGTTAACCTGGGACATTACATGATGAGTAAAGGTAGGAGTGGACAGCGTTGGCAGCGATCACACTGGCGGACGGTGATCTAGTCGACCTTTCAGTCTCCACAACACTTACAACAACAAAGTAACGATTACAATATATACATAACAATAGTAGTTAACCCGGGACATTACATGATGAGTAAAGGTAGGAGTGGACAGCGTTGGCAGCGATTACACTGGCGGACGGTGATCTAGTCGACCTTTCAGTCTCCACAACTTACAACAACAAAGTAATGATTACAATATATACATAACAATAGTAGTTAACCTGGGACATTACAGGAGTAAAGGTAGGAGTGGACAGCGTAGGCAGCGATCACACTGGCGGACGGTGATCTAGTCGACCTTTCAGTCTCCACAACTTACAACAACAAAGTAGTGATTACAATATATACATAACAATAGTAGTTAACTAGGGACATTACATGATGAGTTAATATAGGAGTGGACAGCGTTGGCAGCGATCACACTGGTGGAGGGTGATCTAGTCGACCTTTCAGTCTCCACAACTTACAATAACAAAGTAGCGATTACAATATATACACAACAATAGTAGTTAACTAGGGACATTACATGATGAGTAAAGGTAGGAGTGGACAGCGTTGGCAGCGATCACACTGGCCTGGTGATCTAGTCGACCTTTCATTCTCCACAACACTTACAATAACAAAGTATCCAGTAGCGATTACTATATATACATAATAATAGTAGTTACGAGGGACATTTCGGGATGATTATGATGTAATATAGCATTACTACTATAGCTTTACGAATCTATTGATTGCAATGGGTAACATTGTCACTTCGAGGTCACACCGACAATAACTAAATATAGGAACTAAAATTAAAACATAAAAATCATATTATAACTTCTAAATACGTACAGAATAATTATTATTTTTGTTCTAGGATGCCCGCACATGCCAAAAATTGTTTTTCACAAAAGTTCAGGCAAGACCTTGGGCTTGCAATTTTTTTCAGGTAGATAAAACCCTTTGGTGATTTGGCGAGATTTGAACCCAGGGCCTCGAGGACCAAGATTCCGAGCTCTACCACTACACCAGCTGACTAGACCATACATAGCTGAAAGCTAATTAAAAGTTACAATACGAGAGATTTTAGAGGACTGCATTGACTGAGACAACTTTGGGAGTGGGCAACTGTCGATCAGCGATGTAGCAGGTAGAGAGAAATTACATTACAGTATATTACAAAAGTTTCTAGAGAGTACAATGGCATGAAGAACAATGTTGCTTCAATCAATACATTCAAATAGACGCTTTGTTAGAAACTAAGCTGTCTGAAATTAAGAGCTAGTATGTCTGTAGCAGACTCTTGAAACACTGCCACAAGTGACAATTAATTGTGATGCATGATAAAATAAAAAAAAATACATATTTGATAACATGTCATTTGGTTGGGTTATAATTAGGAACAAAATAAATCGGGTTATATTTTCCAATTTAGTAAAATGTTTACAGTTACATATTTCTAACTAGTTTTACACCCGTAAACTAATGACTGCAACACTTAACAGGTTGTGGTTGAGGTCATCAGTTTAAACACCTAGCGATGGGGAATGCGAACATGAATGGAATGTTCTGCCAGATCCACTAATATCCCACAACTACGGCACGGACATTCCACCTCATCTGCACTCGATTACCACTGCTGATGAACGGAATGGGTTGGGTGATTAACATCTACAGTATGAGTAAAGTTGTTTATATGACAAGTGATATTATGAATTCAAACTATATATTTTGTGAAGAACTTATGAAATGGTAGGGACCTTCAACTTGCTAAGAAGGCAAATCTTTTCGTGGACTTCTGTAATAAATTGTCGACGACGCTGATTCCTACTTATAACTATACACATCCACAATAGTTGTTTGTCCATGGACTTTCAACCGTAGAATTGTTTAACTTTTAAATGTTAAAACTTTATAAAAAATAGTATCAAATAATGAGTGTTAATTTCCCAAAATGTAGCTAATAGTAACAATGAAGAAATATGCAGTTAGAATAGTTTGACATAACTGAGGTTTCGCACACCTTAAGATGCAATTAGTTTAGGTTAGGCGAGAAGAAGCCAAAATGTTGAGCGGCTTGTATCCAATTAGGCTTTGGAAGCGCGAGACACTAGGTTGTGGGGGAGGGGAAGCCTTTGCGGCCCAGAGAAACTCTCGACACTTGGGAATGTGCTTTAGTTAAGGTTTGGACAGATTAGGACTCACCGCAAAAGCGTACACATCTGCTACCTTCAATGCAGATGCCTCTTGGTCGTACATTTCACACGGTAATAATACTGTTACAAAGTAAAATTTACTATTGAAATATATTGGTACAAATTTAAGTTGCAACGACATTCGTTATTAGACATGGGATTAAAATTTGAAAATAAACCACATAATTAAGGAAAATTGTGAAGTTTTTTCATCAATTTATATTTCTCTCAAAGGTGAAAGAATGTTTCGGAGTTTGTAGAACCACTATTACACCGTCCAACGTTAAGCTCGCAGTCGGCATTGGACTGAATCTGTAGTTTGGCGCTTTTCACTTTTTTACACGGGTTTTTATTTACTGGTATTTAGATTTGTTGAAGAAGACATTACCCTTTAGTTAATTAGCCTTAGAAGTAAGGACAAATTGATCAAATATTATAGATTTGATACGGTACCTTTTCGATATGTCATTCATAATCTACATATCATAGAAAAAGTAAACTTTCATATGTTTGGAAGTAAAACATTATTATTCTTTGATGGTTACTCACTTCTGTCTCGTTTTACCTCTGTAAAATTAAAATTAAATTCAAGGTAAATGGACATTACAGTTTATATGCATTACCCGTCTAGAAATGTGAAAGGAAATTTACCAAATTTGTTTTTTAGCTTATATTTTGTCCCATCATTTAGTACCATGGACCAAGTATTGCATAAACATACATTTTATGACTTACGACAAAGATTAATATTACAAACCATAGACTTTTGATCCTTGAAATAATAACAACTCTGTGATGTAAAAGAATGAAATTGAACAAAAGTAAGATACACTTTTTTGATCTGGCTTAAGTTTAAAGTGATATACCCACAGAATGTTTCTCCCCTCTAGTCATTGAAACCCGTTCGACTTTTATTCTCACCAATGACAGCAGATAAAATTTTGATACAAAATTAGTTTCTAAATTGCATTTAACAACGATTTCCCCTTTATCGCAAATACTTCTAAAAAAATTGAGATTCTGTCTGTTTTTTCCATTGGGATTTAGTATACGGTCAAAACTAAATCCAATATAGTTTGATGCCAATTGAAACCCACAGATGTAATTAGTGGAATGCCTTGGAATGTCTCAGTACCTTAGAGATTATGTTTTGGTGGAATAGGGCAAAGTTAAATAATCCATATTTGATCGGAACTATTTCGCCCTATATCGAGTATATCGAGTAAGCTTCAGAGCAATAATTGCTCAATGGTTACAATTAATATTTTTCCCTTTGTACTGTATTTTGTAATTTGGTACTATACTGCGGATGGCTTGTTGTAAAAACATCTGATAACTCTTTTGTTTACTTTGTCCTTGTTATTTTGTTCAACCAATACTTACTTTTGGGTTATAAACCCAAAATGCCAATATTAAATTTCGAAATTTGTTAAAGAGTTTTGTAGTGAAAACGTATTTTCCTGAGGAAGAGGCTTTTGTCAATCTCGTTTAAGCTCATAAGTCCCTAATTCCAAAATTGTATCAAAATCCTTCTGCTAGGTTTAAGAATTTATATTACAGACAAACAGACATAGATTGGATTAGAATTTAGGATTAAACATCAGGGATTTATTACTATACGCTTTATCATTTAGCGAAACATCTTTCAACTTAATTCTGTTCTACATAATTATTTTCCAGTTTTGTTTTACATCTTTGGTAGTGTTGTTTTAAAATGTAAATGTCAATCCTAAAAAAATAAAACAACATAAATAGCTAAAATCTAAATGTTACACAAATGTGTAACAGAATAAACGCAATAGTCGTCAATTACTTTTTACCACACTACTTTGAGTTTATCTGTTTTCATTATATGTTTATCATCTAATAGACGTCAATTTACATAGCCGTCTACCGTTAACAGTCGAACGTAAACACTTTTTTGACAACATCTTCCACCTTCAAAACCTTTGCCTTACAATCTTCAGGAAGGTTTTTTAAAACACTTTTGCTATCGTTTTATCAACTGAAATGGACGTGCTTGCACGTCAAAAGATGAGTGGAGGATGTGATCATTATCTTGTAAAAATAAATCAAAGGGAAGATAAAATTAAGAGTACGATAAGATTTCTGTGACTGGAGAAGGAAATGGTAGAACGTGGTTCTGTAAGTGATGACGTAATGCTGGTTTGTTTGTCAAAGCTGTCAAAAGGCTAACAAGCCCTCGAAACTTGGAGCAAATTTATAGTGGTAAAAAACACTTTAAAAATTGTTTATTGATGATACTTTTGGGGAAAGTGATGATGAATATGATCAAACGTCAAAAATATAATGCAGACATTTTCATATTTAACAACCAAAATTGCATGATTGAGTAAAACTTGCACTTGAAATAGTGGGCCCAAGATAAAAAAATTATTATTTTTGTATAAAAAGTAATAGTCTAATAATTTTTATTTAGAAATGTAGTTCAGAAAAATATCGGTCAAAACCCACGTGAAAGTTTTGCATGTTCTCTAAAGTTAACAAGTAAGAAGAACTATCTAAATTATTGTGTAACAACGAGCAAAAAACTAACTGTTCCTAAGGTAACATTTTTTAACAAATTACTATGGAAACAAATTGTAAAATTATGTTAAGTTATTACAAGCTAGAATAAACAAATGCCATCACATAAATAGAACTGTTTCCAGTTACAGCGGTACGATTTGAAATGGAAATAGTTAGGACATGTTACATAGTTTTGATCACAAAGACAATTATATGTGGTGTTGTCGCACACTGCACGGCCTGAGGGACTGAGGTCCACCACAACACTCCCTTCCCATTACTCCCCTCCCCCCCCACTTCTCTACATCCCTCACACTCGTACTGCTTTGTGGGGTGTTCTTATTCCTACATAGACACACCACACTAGTCTACCTCGTATAAGTGTCAAACGCGTGCATCATTGCTTATTTAAAAAAAATTAACCCTTTACTCTAAGCGCATTAGATGTAAAAACTAGCAGGGGTTTCGTGTTCTTCAACATTTTCGAAGAACCGTTTCAAATATCACTTCAGGTTAGGCCTAGAGGGTCGAGGCATTATCATTTAGCTTGAATACATGGGTAATGATTCGAGGACCAAAGCTCTGCGCTCTGCCACTAGAATAGCTCAATCTTTCTAACTAGCTTAACTAAGCCAGAAATAAAGCTCTGCTTTAAGTATTTGTTTTAAGTAATTGGTAAACAACCATTTGCGGGCAGGTTAATTGGCACTACTTATGTACTACTTATATCCTTACTTATACTTAAAGCTTAATTGGCATTTACATTTCAATGGCCACAATAGTCATCTAAAATGTTAAAAGATTTCATGTCTTTGTTTTTTGAATCCAATTGACATTGACCACACATAAGTTATTTTCTACCAAATACAATCCTTCTCTCTAGACTCTATAGCCTTTTCGATTGATCGCCTTTTCATTAATAAAATATATGGTATATTTAATATATGACAATTTTATCACAAATAATTGGCTTTCCAGCTTTGTCTTTAAATGATGGTAAAAACAACATATTTTTATAGGATGGTTGACCTACAATATGCCATGCTTACAATATTTTACTAGTAGGCTACCTACATAAAAATTAATATATATACATAATAATAAACATGTATGTAGGTAAATTGCACAAATAATCACATCACATCTGTACCAAGGTGGTAGACAAACGTACTCGACATACAATCCCAATTAAATCAAGCATGTAACTTTTCTCATTATATCTTGGCTAGAGTCTTACTAGTTGAATTTAGTCAAAACTATTGACTTTAGATTATCCACATCATACTTATTTCCTATACACTTAATTTAACTATATTAAAATAAAACTACTGTACGAGTACATATACAATATTTTTTAAATAATAATGGAAAAAAACAAAGCCATTTCTTATAAGGTTTACTTAAGGTTTATAACATGTGAAATAAAACCTCTAAATATGTTGTTGTTATTTTAATTTTATCTTAATAATAGAAATGATGAGGTACAGATGTTATTGCATACAATGTTTAATGGTAAATCAGTGGTTACAAAAATTCTTCAGGGGTGAAGTGGGGAATCGTGCAGACTGAATCAAAAGATTTCTTTGAATTTATAAAATGCAATAAGTTAAATGTAGATTGAGTAATAATTTGGAAACAATATTTTAGTAGGATGATTAATTTTCCTTTTTTTTTTGTTAATTTCAATGAAATATTGAGGTAGGTTTAGTCCCAAAACGGATGCTGGATGAGTCTATAGTCTAAGTTAATAACTTAATAAATGGAATTTTCTCACGAATCTTCTTGAAATAATTTTCTTCTGAACATATATGCCTAATTCTTCTTTCTTCAGTTAATTTGGATATTTTGGCAACACTTAATTTTATAATTTAAATAGTTTCACAATCTACTTATTACAATTAATAGTTTCTGTATGTTCTTCTTGGATGCCTTAACTGCACTCTCTTTGTTCATTGTTGTAAATCATTTCTTAAATTATGGGGTTCACATATTTAAAAACATGGTTGAATTTTATTGATAATCTTGAACCCAGATGCACTGTATTTTAAATGGAGGAATTGTATTGTATTGAATAATAATTTTGGATAAGCCAATGAATAAATGTTGATTATAAATTATATATATGTTGAGACAATATGGTTTTACTAATATTAAAATGTACCTGAATAAATACTAAAATATAACAAGATTTAGTTTGGAATTTAATTAGGCCTAATAACTATATTTATAAACATTGGTTTTTGAGTGATTACACATGTTTGCTATAACATTTTAGAAAAAAATCAATACATGCTTGAATTCCAAACCTTATAAACTTTTATATAATGTCATTATGGTTAAATATAAAAAATATTATTGACTATTCAAAGTCTTCAAGTTGCATTTACTTTTAAAATTCATTACAATAATCTTAAAGGCCTCTTAAATTCAGCTACACTTGAAGAGAAGAGCTAATATTAGGTAATACACTTATTTTCAATAAATACATGCCAGATTTAGAGAGTTGAATAACTCAAAATTATAAATTAATCTTGAGTGACCAACCTAAAGGCGTAAAAGTGTTTTCCATATACTTTAATGAATAAATTAGGAAGGAGTAATGGCTTTTAAGGCTGCTGGTAGATATTTCTTTATGAAAATGCAAAGAGACGTGCCTTGAGTTAATGAGGCTCGTAATATTGATACTCGGCGTACGAGAACTATTCAACGGCATTCAACGGCATTCAACGGCACTCAACGGCATAGCAGTGACGTTTGCGATATGCATTAACAAAATGGGGCGTTTTTTAATATATGCAAATTTTCAAATCAATCAATAGCATTTACATTACATACAATACTTAGTTTTTGCACTAATAGTCTTATTTATTAAATTAAAGTAAAAACATACACTACACTCACAAAATATATAAATTATTTAATAAATAAGAAATTCTTCATACTTTAATAAAGAAATTAGTTGACATTTATAAGAAATTATTATGGCTTATTTGGGGTTAAGTCCGTTTAGCCGAAAGTGACCAAATGGCTGCTATTTCGAGTAAGATATAAACATTGCCATAACCTTACTTCTTCATTTAATAATTTTGATCCATACAAACAAAGTGTCACTGGATTTAAATTCCAAAAGTGATTTAAATGTGACACCTTATAAACTGTTGGTTGAGTTGTATGTTTCATTTCAATTTATCTCTGAAAAGATCAAAAGGCTACCATTTATAAGTTTTACGTTGAACCAAGTTGAATTTTGTCTAAGATATAACTCTTTAACACATCATGATCATTAAGATCGTTTGAAAAGCTTTAAAGATATATAGTTTGATGTAGACCTAAACAAAGAAAATGCAAACTTCTGGTAACAGATTAATTTATTTTTTATTTTTACCCATACAATCATTTTTTTGGGTTTTTGACTTCAAACACCTAGTATAAAAAAAAAAAATCTGGGTCATTCTTCAACTTCTCAAGTCGGCCAGAGCTCTATCAACTTCTACCATAAAATGCGTGCATGTAATACAGTAGTGTGAACACACTAGACCATAGAGAATAGGCAACTGGACAGTCCACTACCAGTTGTATAGTTGCATAGTTGTTTCAACAATAATAACACGTTTTTCTTATGACTCGTATGTGAATAAATTGCAATACGTATGACCAATTAACGAGGTACTCTTACCAAACAGGTGGATACATACCACTGTGGTTTTTTATAGTAATGATAAAACATTAATTAAGTTATGGTCATAAGTTTTTGTTGGAAAAGTATAACTAACCTTCTTCTGGCTCCCCCAATTCAACGTAAAGAGAAACGTTCCGCTCGTAGCAGTGCTCGGGTACAATGCCGATAGGAATGGTCCGCCTGAAAAGAATTTCATTGTCAGTACACATTTAAATAAGTCCATAGTATACTTGCTGAACATTTAAAATAACTACAGTAAGAATGTATACAAATGATTATTCAATGTATACAAGTTTTAAATCATACGTTTGGTATACAATAATAATGAGGTGGCAGACCAAATATTCTGACTAAAATCTGCTAGCCTTTATATGTCGTTTATACGAACTTTATATCCGTAGGCCAGCGGGCTGTTTCGAGGATTTTTTGATTTGTTGCTTCAAACGCACGTCTTTATTACACCTTAAATTGCCTCATTAACAATCAGCTGATACAAATACCATAGGAAACTCAACTTGCATTACAGTGTTAAAGTTTTCTTTTATTCTACAATGAATATAATAATATTATACATCATCACTAGGTACCAAAAAGAGCCACTTTCGCCCCCAGTGATGAAAACTACTATTCTGGGTGGGTTTAATAATTTCTGCTATAAATCAATGTACAACGTTTTAATACCGTCGTGCACTACATTAGTAAAATATTTTATTATATTAGAACATAGATGGCTGTATATATAAAAAAAAAATATTTAAAATGATTAGGTTATTAGTTAGGTTACAACAGAAAAAAGCCATGCAAGGCAGGCATGAGGGTGTTAATGTTATTATATAACCACTGGTTGAAATAAGGAAGAGAAATGTTTGGCAGCATTTCCTAACACCAAATTACGCATAAGGAACAGTAATTTGATAATTAATTTATATTTTTTACTTAATGGACTAACAATCAAAGTTTGTATTTACCTACAATAAGGTAATATATAAGTTAACACGTCATGCTTAGATTAGAAGTTAGCTTGTTCTTCGCAGCCCGGTAATTGATGCAACAGATACTAACTATTTGTAAAGTCCTATCTTAGTCACTTGATAAACATTGTTATGGCAGCTAACAAGTTTGTTTGAAGCGACTGACTGCACGTTGAATTTAATTTGCGAGGTAGCCTTTTCTATCGTAGTCTATGTGACACGTAAAACAACGTGTCATAAATTGGTACTATCGACTATTGACATTTGTATCAAACACCACTTTATGTTCCTGATGGCAGCGAGCCTAATATATTCTGAGTGAATATTATTCATTGTGGCTGTGGTTTGAAGTTTAATATTATGTAACCAGAGAGACAGGGGAATTTTATTCAATATGATCAACAATGTACGTAAGAAATTTTTCATTCATTGACTACTTTTTTTTCTTAAACTGTAAATGTATCATCTGATAGTCAAATTTGCTTGTTTATGTATTAGTAGGCATATTTATTTTACCTATCTTCACCAGTTTTGTTGTTAACGTGCTTTCAAGGAAGCGTCCAATCCCTGGTATTGTTACTATCCAACGTTGACCCATTAATTGACTGCCAAATCACGAATGTCATCTTGTTCTGGTAATGGTCTCACTTTGAATCGAACCAGCGACTTTTAGATTTGAAGGTGATAGTAACCAATTTCAATTAAATTTGAAGTAAAATATTCAAAGCCACAAATATGTAAAGGAAAAGTTATTACTTAATTTGATTTAGTGTTCAATTTAAATATGAAAAGCATAAATATGTGTACATACACTAAGATAAACGTATATACTTTTGCTGCTAACTTACATTGAAGAGAATCCTTATTTATAAAATACTGTTATTATAAAGTTTTAAACTTTGTTTAGAAAATAAAAGTTAAATATGGATAAATATAGCGTCAGGTAAAAGTATTTTTTCAAACATATCAAGTACTAAACTTGCATATAAAAATCTGGGAGAGTAAATATAATTTAATATGAGGACCAAAACTGTTTGAAGAGTTGCGGCTCGTATCATTAGAAAGCAGTTTCGCCACAATATATACAGACCCGCTAGATTACTTTCCTGCTTGGGGACCTTTATAGCCTCCCGTATCATAAACAACTTCATTCAAACCTCTGTTCTCATCAACCTTTTACTAGAGCCATACCAATTAAAACCAACCATGTCGTCCTAAATATTTGGAGTTAGAGAGTGTTAAATGTATTCAAATTATAAACAATATTTTAGGTGAGTCGGTGTTTTAGTAGGTAGCACTACTCGTGGGTTCGAAACCTGTTACCTCACACCACTCATTTTATCAGTACATTTAAACATATATGTACCAATCTCGAAACCAATTCTAATACATGATGGCACATAATCAAGTTATTTAATGAATACTATATAAAATTGCAAAAACTTTGAAATACAAGAAAGTCTTATAAATTCATACTAAGATTTTAATTTAGGCTATACGTCGTAAGATTATAAATGCTAAACGTGTAAGAATACAAATTGGTATTTGGTATTTAATGTTTGGATGTAATTAGATAAATACACGGAATGTATGAATAAGGTAAATTGTTGTGATATGAGATGTTAGATATATCTATGAGTACGTGAGTGTGAAAAAGCTGATCTTAAATAAATTTCCTTCAAGAGAACTTTTGTAGCTCACACAGATTCCCTCACATGTTGTACATCTATAAATGTACTTTCCAAATACTTGGGAAAGGGGTGATGTATTCAAGGGTATAAAGCCATACTAATTCGTAATAAATGCATAGTATAAGGGTAAATAGTTTATCCGAACATAACCTTTTTAAATAAATATCATGCATTTAAACAATCAGTTAAATTTACATATTTTGAAATTGAAAGAAATAAGAATTAATTAGGATGTACAAACCTAAAATTATTCCTAAACGGTTATATGTATTCCAATAGGAAAAAATCGTAAATATTGTAGAAAAACCCCCTTTATGTTAATCGCATTACACAATAGAGTTTTTTTATTTTTTTTTTTTGTTTAAGGCTTGAAGTAACATGCATTTTAAATGGGGAAATTTAGTTTTTGGTTATTACCAAATACTAAAAGAAACAGACAGTAGGTGTACATTTGCAAAATTTTCAATCTTAAAAAGACGCTTAAGATGATATGCAATTTGACATATGTTGCCTTTTGATTCTTTCATATTTACAGGGCTACCAACATTGCAAAAAATGTTATTTAGGTAAAAATGATTATTTTGAGAATTATTATATGTGACACATCATTGTAAAGCTGTGTTTACCAGGATTTAAAATTTTCAATCAGAATGCAAAAATGTTTAGCGGTTTGAAAATACAGGGCGTATTTATAAATGTTCGCGTCAATACGCGAAAAATTCCCAAAAATTGCCGCCATTTTGAAAATATTTGAGAGAGCTCTAAGCAAGACCTTTTTTAACAAGTACAATGAGACATGGTTTGACATAAGAAAATCTCGTGATTCGAACCCATGACCTTCATTTTTGGAACACCCTGTGCTTGAATCACGTTCTAAGTATTATGGATTCTTCGTATAGGATTTAGGGGGGAATAATTTTATTTTTCGTTTCTAGGTAAAAACGTACTTCCATGAAAGTACGTGTACGGTGGCTCTGGCTCACCCTGTGTATATCCACAGTAGTGTATATCCACGAAGAAACACGCACCATAATGTTTATGTCTGTGATCTCTCAGCCAAATGTGATTAACATTTAGCTAATAAACTTGCCGTGGCTCTCTAACCCAACCATACAATAAAGTAAGTAAAAATAGACCAACGTGTAGCAGGGATGCGGCGTCGTTAACATTAATGAGACTTGTTATGATAGCCATTTTGACTAAAATAACACACATAGAACCACATGCTATCAAGTTGGTCAATTCAGAATAAAGTCCGTACAGTACCAAAAGTAGTTGTGAATTAACCGTTATTGGTAAAGCAAAGGCATACACACAGTGCGTTAGAAAAGTCCCGGAACTGTTTAATATATTATGTTTAACTATTATTCTGTATAAAAAACAGTATAAATTGGTATACCTATGATAATCATAAAAATTCACTTTTTAAAAGAGTTGTTATGATCTCTTAAGAGGGCCTACGAGGTGTAAGTGGATAATCTAAGATGTAAGGAAAGGTTGATTGATATGTAGATCAAATTAAATGTCTTAAATGGTAAAAAATGAAGCCGCTAACCCGACCTTAAACAGGTTTACTCTATAAAAAATGGCGACATTTTAAAGTTTCCTTTAAGTTGTCTCATCCAATTGTTCTAAAATATTGTAATACTGTGTATTTCCTATTCTAACAGTAAATTAGTTGTTTTTTTCTGACCCAATAATCAATGGCATTACTTAAAAAAAGGTCACCACTTTTGGATAGAGTCAAAATGTGCATTCATTCATTTCATACCAGTAAGAGTTAAAATGATAGTTAATTAAAAAGTGGATTCTTAAGATTATAATTGGTATTTCAATTTATATATTTTTATATTGGATATAATGGTTAAATTTATATAAAACTGTTCCGGGACATCTGTAACACACTGTATACATCTGTTTATACCTAATGTAAAAACGTTTCAGATGTTTTTTGTAGTTTTTTAACAATCCCTAAATAATAGGCTTTCAGTACTTTGAAAAATCCTAAGAACTCGGCTGTAATAATGTCTGGATTAAATAAGCTCGTTAAATAAAATCGTTTGTGTACAGCAAAAGTAGCAGGAAGGAAATATAATCTCTTTGTATTATCGATTTAAAAAACTTTAAAATGTTTATAAACCAAGCACTCTTTTGTTAATCGAGAATCTTTATTTTCCCAAAACATATATACAAGCAAATCTATAAAAGAAACATTGAAATATTTGTCGTGGCCCCCAGGCCTCCCAGTTTTTGGCTTTTGATTCATCTGACGTCAGTGATCAAGATGGCACGCTTGGCAGCCTTTCAATGGCCTACTGACCCAATAATCATCCACAAACAATGCCTTGATAACTGAAATAGTAGAGAGAAAGGTCAGTCATATAAATTATTCAGATACATTTCGAATATCCATAAACATTTACAGATACTACCTGCCGTAGAAGTTTAATATTGGCCTAGGTTTGGTAGTTCAGCTGTTCCATAAAATATTACAGTAGAACCTCGATAACAAGACCCT